CAATGACATCCGCCAAGGAAGGGAAGGCAGTTCCCCCGCTGCCGCAGCCCGGCGCAGCAGAAGAGAGGCGCCGGAGCCCGCTGGACCAGCTGCCGCCGCCCGGCAACTCCAACAAGCCGCTTACCCCCTTCAGCATCGAAGACATCCTGAGCCGACCTTCCGGGCGTAGAGCCCCTGCCGCCCGCCCGCTGGACAAGGTCGCCGGCTCTGCTGGACCCCCCCGGAGCGGCGTGCCCGCCCCCGACTCCCCGCTCTGCGCCCTGGAGGAGCTGGCGAGCAAGACGTTCAAGGGGCTGGAGCTGAATGTGCTTCAGGCAGCCGAAGGTAAGGCCGGTTGACGAGGGGAAGGGGTGCGGGGCAGAGCTGGAGCAGGCCAGGCCCCTGGTTCTAGTCCCTGCCCGCCCTGCGGGAACCCGGGGGTCGCTGGCTGCAAAGAGGTTGGGCGCCTGGAGGCCAGGGAGGCGAGGGCTGTTTCCACCTTGCGGCGGCCCTTTTCTTGGGTGCCCTGGAAGAGCCCATCCGCGGCAGCGCTCGGCGGAGAGAAAGCGCCAGGGTGCCCGGTCACTGTCCTGCTCCCTTAGCACCGGCCGGGAGGAAGGGGATTTGCGGAACTTCTCCCGCGTCCCGGTCCACTATGAGCGCACCGATGGCGCCTTCTTTCCTGCTCGAAGCCCACCCGGGAGCCCGCGGATTTCCAGACGGCCTTTCGCGTGCTCCTCCGCCCGCAGTCGGGACCTGCTCGTCTGGCCGCAGAGGCTGAGCCTCATGACGCCCGGCCGCTCCGCACCGAGCCCCGACGGCGTTCGGCTTCCAGATTTCTCAGCGGAGCTCCGCGGGCGGCAGATGGCTGTCGCCAGTTGTCTCCGAAGGTGCTGCTGGACGATTTCCTCCGCTCCCGCTGGGCGACCAGACACAGACCGATTCGCCTTTAGGTCGGCCGAGTCCGTCGGTGGCTGAGTCCCGGGAATCAAAGCCACCGCGCTGGGGTCCAAGTCTTGAGGCTGGCCTCTCCTCGGTCAGGGCTTGCTCCCCACACACCACCCCCTTCCAGACCCTCCGCCGGTGCCTTCAGGCTCCTCTGGAAGGACCCCTTTGTTCCGACAGCGGGCACGTGGACGCAGCCGGGCCGGGCCGGCCGGATCACCGCCTGAGCTTGCAGGCCTAGAGATCCGCCCCTGGCTCCATCCGGCCAGGATTAACGGGTCCTTCTCGCTCGGTGGAAAAGTTTTAGTGAGTAGCTGCCTCCACTGTTCATAATCTTTTGGTCCCCAAAAACAATTTTCCACCCAAGTCCCAAATCTAAAATGTGTTATTTAAATATCTATGCTGATCTATCACTGTAATAAAGATTTGATGTTGATGTTATTTAAATCATCATCATCATCATCATCATCATCACCACCACCACCATCGGAATTATTTCAATAATAAATATTATTTAATATTTTAATTTAATAATAAATAATATTATTTCAGAACTTTTGGGAATGGGCAACATATAAAGTTAATAAAATAAAATCATTAATTAACAACAGCAACAGCACTCCAGGATTTGTTTGGGCAGTCAAACTGTGAAATTTCTCCATCCGAAATCTTTTTCCCAAAGTAAGGACAAAATGCTCTAATTGCAAAGGCAACTATCAGATGAGAGTTTACCTAAAACAGATCTGACTATAACAGTATTGCATGAGTTATTATACTATAGTTGTACCAGTATAGTACAACTATATCATC